AAAGCATTCCAAAGCAAAGTAATCCCCGTTTCAGCTTGTGATCCGGTTTTGCTGCAATAACTTTTGTCATACACCCAGGATGAAGTGAAAGACAGTAATTATTCTAACGAAAATAGCGCTGGAGGATGGGGACTGATTTACGTTTCTTAGGCCATTTTTCGCCCGGGGGTACTCCCTATAACGGTTTATACGGGGAGGATCCGATCAGAAGGGATTTCACTTGTTGAAGTTTATATAAAAGGGTAGGAAATCTGTAATTTGGGCGTAAAAAGGCCTAAAAGGGCTTACAGACGCATTTTATGACCGTGAAAAAGTCAAGAAAACGTTCTGGTTTCATTCAAATTTTAAAGAAGGTGCTTTAAAGCAGTTAAAGGGGATCGCCCCATATGAAACGAAAACGACCAAAGCGGTCGTCAACGGGTTGAGAAACAGCACTTTTCTTAATTACAAGATCTAGAGACTTGTACAAAACCTGATCTATTTGCCCGGTTACAGGAATTTGTTTATAAGTTACCAGTTTTTCTTTTGGCATTGTTTGTGTTAACTTTATCTATTAGCTATTATAGCCTCTCTGAAATTCGAGGTGAAATGAAGGTTGCAATGTATGCATGTATGTATAGACTTAAACTCGATAGACTCAAATTATCACCATTAAAAAGATTGAAAAGTTGATTTTTCGATCACTAGCCCTTCGTCAGAGATAGCACTCGCGGTGGTAATGTCATTCAGATGACGTTCGCGCATGTGCATTATCGGGACGGTCACATTCATGGTTATTTGCCAAAACCTAAATTTGTGCAGCACTACAGTTTCTTTTGAAACGAAACCCTTCATTCTTTATTATTTCAACAGCTAAAAAATGAATTTGACCTGTCAGTGAGTGCCAAGAACAGGAAAGCAAAGAAGCAGATAGAGAAGTATTGCACAAAGCATGGAACAGATCCCCAAAGCGACGCGGATCCAAACTTGCGTAACTTATATGTTGTGGAGAAGTACAAAATTGTCTATTGCGCTGTCCCAAAGGTAGCATGCACAGTCTGGAAGGGAATAATGGCAAAACTAGAAGGTCTTAACATTTCAGAAGGGATTCACAAGAACACTAAAGGAAAACTTAAAACCCTTAGCAATTATTCCGTGGGGGAACGCGAGACAATTCTAAAGACATATAGGAAATTCTTGTTTGTGAGGGAACCGTTTGAACGCCTACTTTCTGCCTATAGAGATTGCTTCTGGGGGAAATATAAGACAACACAAGATTACTGGAAAGATTACCAGGGAAAAATAAAACAGGTTCTGAAGAGTCGAACTAGCTTTCCTAACGAAACATACTCTGGAAATGTAACGTTTGAACAATTTGCAACCTATTTGGTTCTTCGACGGAGAGAAGGTGGTTTGTTTCAAGAACACTGGCGGGAACAATATAAATTGTGTCATCCTTGTCTCATACAATTCGATTACATCGGACATTATGAAACACTGACTGAAGACGCGATGTTTATTCTACGAAAAACAAACTTGGAAAACAAGGTAAACTTTCCGGAATGGCAACCAACAGACACTAGCGAGTTGATGCAGAAGTACTATTCTACGCTTTCTCTGCTCAGGATAAGGCAACTACAGAGTATTTA